GGGTGAATTGTGTTTACAAAATTTGTGAGCTTTCATGACCACATGTAACAAGTCCAGCTCCAAGTGAACCAAATACAATCCACAATTCACACAACTTAAGCAAGAATAATAAAGTGCAGAATTTGAAGTTTTGAGGGAAGAGAAAGTTCAAACGTGTTGATTTATAGAAGTTCAGCCCTATGCATTGCATGTATGTCATCTCCCCAAAGTTTCCCTGCATGAGAGTTGAACCCACTGGCTTCAAAACTTGAACTTTAGCTTAGAAGTCTAAAGAAACTGTGCAAAGCATTGTTGTAACATGCATGCCTAGGTGCTGGGCAGCAGGCCATCACCTCACTTTTGTAAAATGAATCCTATCACCTCCATGCAAACCATAACTTGAAGATTTACATAGTTTGCTATTACAAAGGAACCATGTTTGGGAAAGAGAAACAATCACCCAATGCAAAAGTCTAGCTATAATGTTTTATTTATTTTTTATTTTTTATTTTTGGCCAAGTCTAGGATCAATTAAAATCACTTAATTCAACTTTCTTGGAAACATCTTCCTCAAGTATATTGACTCCAGAACTTTTATAAGGATATTTATCAGCACATTAATACTCCTAAGCATCAACAATACCAGACAGTTCTAATATCTTCAGGAACAATTGTTTTCTTTTTCAGCAATGATATAGTTACAATGTCATGTAAGATTGTTGGCTTACAATCATGACGTGTCATTAAATGAGTCAATGTATACAATATAACAAGCAGGCCTCAAAATGAAAAGAGTCAATCATGCAATGACATGTGGTCATTGTAGGTTTATGATGTCATGTGGCATTGTAATTATATCATTTTCATTTCTTATTATTATTTTTTTTCACAACTGAAGAAGTAGCTCCAATACTGCCCTTAAACCTTATGATTGTGTAAAATTCCTTAACTAACCTTGAATAAACTCTAGCCTTGGAATAAAATCCTTTAGTAATCAGCCAGCAAAGAAATTTTATAAATGAAGAGTATGAGGGTTAGTCCGACCCTTATACTAGAATAAGTACAAAAGACAACCCAAACAAAGTTTAAATAAAATTCCAGCAGCCCATCAAACTGTCACCAACTTTAGCCCAAATTATAACAAACCAATATTCAATCTGTATGAGGTACAGCAGTGGAAGATGATGAAATGGATAAATTCAGTTTGTTGGATCATGGCACCACTCATAGAAAGGTAAAACCACACCGTCCCTTCTCCCTCTTGACTGAAGGTAAGATCTTAATTGAAGAAGCTTAAAGACTTCATCCACAAGACATTAAAATATTATTAAAGAATTATTTCTCCAATCCAAATGGAGCAAGCCCCTGCAAAGATCAATGACCAGACGTCTTTTAATTACTTATGGACAACACTAAAGGCATGTTGATAGCAAGCCTCAGTGATCTTTGTTGGCAAGACATAATATAACCCTTACCAGCTAAGACACATCACCCATAACAAAACATGTAATTATTGGAGTTCAACTGCTTAGCCCACTGTGATCAGCAAAAACTTTTAAAGGTGTTCATCTCCACATTCACCCCTTTTTTCCCTTTTCACATTTTGTTTTCTTTCTTTCTTGACAGAGGTATAGAAATGTTGCTTAGGCAAAGCTAAAACACTCTATATTAATTAATGTTTTCTTTGTGAGGTGAATGGTTACTGTTCAATCATGCATCCTGATTTTGTAGGAGTCTTGAAAACTTGTACCTGGTTTTTTGTCATTGTTTATCATGTGATTTTTTTGTAGAATTTGGGCCTATTTAGCAACCATTAAACATCAAAGCATCTGGTTGATGTGAATGACTTAGTTAATCTTGTTTGGATTTTCTGCAGGATCCTGCAAACCAAAAAGAAGAAGCCACAGCTCTGAATTTGAATGTTGATAAGACAGGTGAGGCCCCAAACTCTACCAAAGAAATTGAATCCACCACAGCGGATGGCTCTGTAGCCTTATCCCCAAAGCAAGGTATCAATAGAAGAATCATTTAGTTAGTTTTCAACCAGTTACAAACAAACATTTCACCCTCTCTGCATAAATATGCAAAATATTGTTTCCAAAAAAATGACACTTCATTCTTTGCGCTCGACATCTGTTGCAGCTCAGAGAAGCCGGCTGATTACCTGCTTGTATTTTGATGCATAGCTTCAAGAGTTGGATCTTTTAGGCTGCTAGTTTATGGTATTGAGTGATTCCTTCACAGCTATTGCATGGAAATAAGCATTTGCAAGAACCATACTCCATTTAAAATGAAATGGGAAGCAAAGCATTAATAACGAAGGCTTAGGCTTTTCAACTGTCTTTATAGTCTCTATAATATCTTGTATACTCCTGATCATTAAAATATTTTCTGAACCTATTTGTCTCATGTTTTGGCAGATGAGACGGGACCAAGCACCGAAGATCTCAACAATCCATAAGGATCAAACATGATTGAGAAACAATCTCTAACCGTTTTAGTGATAACTTCTGAACACAACACCAAGCACAGGCCATTTGTATAGTCTTGCCTCAAACGTAAGGTTGTAATAGATGGATTCGACTAATGTATACACAGTCTGCTAACTGCTGTAGAATCAGTCACCTACTAACAGTCTTCTTTTCATTAACTATTTATAACATATTCGTTTGACAACAGTAAACTTTTAGCTGCAATCGATAGTTTGATTTAGAACCAGTGGTATCATTGTTTCATGATTAGTTTCTGCCTAAGATTAAGCTGCTCTTATACAGTGAGGGGAAAGGAGAAATGCTTATTATTAGTTTGGTTAGGATAATTGCCAAAAGACTCCATCGCCCGCGTCACAGCACTGATTCTATTTTTCTCAAGATAGGTGCATGTGAGAAGGGTTATTCTACAGGGGTCTGTTGCGTCAGTCCAAATTTTGATAAATGCCAACTTTCGGCCTTAACATATTTTCTGTTCTCTTAACGTTACAATAAGATCTGTGCATATCTTTATCTATCCTCGGGGGAATGTTAGGAGTTATTCGCTGCTGTTTTATGGCAATGCCTTGATTTCGATTTGGTTATCAGGGACGTTCTGGAAATGAATTTGGGTATGACAAAACCAGCAGTTGACTAGCCATACTTATCTTTGTTAGGGTAAAAAACCAAACACTCAAATTAGTTGTAGAAATCCAATAGACATCTTCGGAGAGATAATATCCCAGGTGAATTTTGCTGGTATTTCCAGGTCTATCTAGCAGTCATGGCGAAATATAGAAACTAGCACTTCTGAAGCTAGAATGAAAGTTGCCTATGCATCAGAACAATGATTTTCGGTTTCATTTGATGCAATTTTTTTCATTTCATTGGATTACAAAGCAGAAAACAAACTCCCTTTCATTCAAATCCAAAGATCAAAGTTATACGACAAAGGAGATTAACACCTTACAATGCCAACACAAATACAACCATGAGCAACAATTGTGCAGCATTACATACTGAAAGTTGCATAGCATATAAAATATTATAATAAATTATTAAATCTTGAGTCCCATACTTAAGGAGGTTTCACTTCCCTCCACTACCAAAGAGGTAATCCAAGGAGGAGCTACCGCCAGGGGCTGCATGAACCTTGGTTGTGGGACGATCAGTGAGGAAGTTGCCGCAGTTCTGTCCATCAGCACGAAAGTAGTTGTTTGCATTGCTAGCTGGAACGACTGCAGGAGTTTGCTTGGGGACCTCTGCCGCTGGTGGCGAAGTGGTGGTGGGGGTAGGCTTTGGTGGAGGTTGTTGCCTTTCACCACCATCCGTGGAAGGCTTTGGAGACTCACCGCTACCAAAAAGGTATCCCAATGAGCTCTGCCCACCACCGCTGCTAACACCACGACCCATAATGATCTCTGATGCAAGAAAACTCACAGACTGCACAGAAAGTTTAAATATATAAAGCAAAAGTTTAAATATACTCCTCCACACCCATTTCATGCTTCAAAACCAACATAAAAGCAAAAATAGTGAAGCCTGTAAAAATCAAAATCCTCCACTGCTATAAATTTTTTTTTTTAAAAAAAGGAATTCCACTGGCATATCTACTCAAATTCTATTTGCCAGATTGAATTCTTTCATCTAATATTATTGGCAGACAAATAAAAGATAACTCAAACGGCATGCAATATTCTTCTAAAAACTACACGAATACATTAGATCTGAGACAAATTGGGTAAAATTAGAAGGGGAAAAGGGCGATAAATTCAGAACAAGCATGAGATGTGTCATTTTTCACACAATGCAGAAACAGAACATCAGATCTATGATTAAAACAACAAGATCTCTTCACCGAAACGAAGATGAAATAAGAATCAGAATTCACAAACGCAATCAGACAGATGAAAGTCGAAATCTTTTCTCGAGAAATGAAAATGGTAGGAAAAGAGATGATTTTGCTATTTTACTGACCTGTCTAGTGTTTTCTCTGGATCGGATCTGCAGCGGAAGGAGAGAAATATTTCTGACGGGATTTATCTGCGTTTGGTTGTTTAGGAAGGATATATCGGGGGCGCCGTTTGGCGTTTTGCTCGTGAATCAGGATTGAGAATTATTATTATTTAAAAAAAAAAAAAAAAAAAGTAAGAAGCGAACGGGAACTTTCTTTATTTTAAAAACAAAAAAGTGCCGGGCAGTAAGATCGAAAAAAAAAAAAAAAAGTGCCCGGCAGTGGAAAGAAATTTTGCACTTGTTTAGATGGAGAGTTTATCTTTTTAAGAATGGTGGTTTAAAAAATATTATATTAAAAGTTAATAAATTTTAAAAGTAAATTTTATTATAATTTTGTTACATTATTAATTTTTTTATAATTAATAAAAAATTAATATAAAAAATTTGTAAAATAATTGTTAAATCCGTTTTATATAGAAAAAATTAAGAGGAAATGTTTTTTTTTTAAGTGTAGGAAAAAAGTTTTAACATTGAGAATTATGTAAAAAAATAAAAATTAAAAGTGTTATTTTTATTCTTATTTTATTATAATATTTATGTATAAAAGTACATAAATAATTCTTTTTAAAAAAATTAAAAGAAAAAATTTTACCCCAATTAAACAACTCATTAAATAATCGGAAGAATTCTCATACAAAAAATTATACTTCTCATCTAATAATTTTTGTTTTATAATTTAGTATAACCTAAATTATAAAATAAGTTACCCTTTTTAAAGATTGTTTGTTCATTGTAGCAGTATGTTTCACTTAGCCTTTTTTAAAGTAGTTCTTATGCTAAAAATTTAAATTGCATTTAACATGATTGTGGTTTTTATTTTAATTTTATAAATTTTGTAACTTTAAATAAAAAACAAGTTCATATGTTTTTGTAATATATTATTATGATTATTATATAAAAAAAAATAAAAATAATTTTAATATTAATAAATAAATTTATAATTTTAAATATAAATGTTAAAATTTATTTTAAATAAATTATTAATTTTTTTTATTTTTAGTTTTAATTTTTAATAATTATAAAATTTATAAAATTTAAATTAAAATAAAACCCCACAACTTTATTAAATATAATTATCAAATATTTGCCTTTTGAAATTTGATATCTATTAGAGAGAAACTTGAGTTTTAGTAAAAGAATCGTTTTAAAGCAAGTTTTGGTAAAAGCAAAGATGAAGAGATTTGGAGCTTTTTACCAAAACTTGGATAAAAGCCATTATTTTACTAAAAGTCAAGTTACCCTTTCACAGGTTTCAAATTTTTTTTTTTTTAACAATTTGTAATTATTTATAAGGTTAATTGGGAGAGAAAGAAAGAAATTTTGTGAGGCTTAAATATGCAATCCACTGAAGTTGAACAGTTTTAATTCAAAGTTCAATACTACTGGATCGGAGCGAACCATTCCACGTATTTCAATTTTCAAAGAGTAAACTTTTAAAAATTTTAACTTGGAAGCTAGACAGAAAAACTATGCCAATAGCCTCTTAATCTTTTTATTTTTTTATTAGGTATGTTGTCTAATTGTTTAGATTAAATAAAATTATAAAATAAAAATTATTATATTAAAAAATATTTTAATATAACAAAATTAATTTTTATTTAATAATTATATTATATAATTTAATATAATTTAATCTCCACAACCTTTTCCTTTTTCATTATTTTCCTTTTTCATTACCTTTTTCATTACTGTCCTTTTTATTTCATTTTTTTTATTCGTTTTTGCGCTTAAAATAACGTTGTCACTATCACGTTCTCGAAAACTGATAATTTGACCGTTATATCGAATAGTTTTCGTTTGTAATTAATATCTCATTTTAATTTCTTCTCACATGGGACCTACAATCACACATTTCACTATTTTCCACCGAGTACGTCGACAGGCTCAGATCAGATGCCTTCCATTCTTATATTTTATCATTAACACCAAAACCAACAAGAAAAACTTTGAGCATGTAATTTAAACACTCATAATTATTGATGGGTTTGGACATGTTAATATATATTAATTATATTTTTTTATTAAGTTATATAAAAAAATAAAAATCAATTTTAAATTTATTAACTTTTCAATTAAAATTATTTACATAATATTGATATTAAAAATAAGGATCATAAAAAATCATGATTATCATTACAGTCGTTGGTTTCGTGAGTTTCAATCAGAAATCCATTTATTTGACAATTATGATAAACGTCCTCACTCCAAAACATCATGATTTTCATATTTTCCTTAAAAATAATAATTATTTTTTTATTTTTTTTATAAAAATTTAAAATTTTCTAATATGTTTTTCAAAATATAATTATTGCATATTTTTACTATTAATTTACAAAAGAAATAAAAGATGACATAAGTTTTATAAATCATCTAATTAAATCATTTCATGTGAAATTAATGTTAAAAATAAAATTTATTTTCATAATTTTTTTTATACAAATTAATATTGAAAAGTATAATAAATACACATTTAATTTATACGAAGAACCCAAGAACTTATTATAAAGAGAGCAATTAATGCACTCTTAATCTTTGTTTTAAAAAATTTATTATCAATTAATAAAACAATTTTTTATCATATATTTTTAAAGTACAAGTTAATAGTATATTAATATATTTTTAATCATTAATTAATATTAAAAATAACAAAAATTAATATTAATTTTAAGACTACATGAATCATTTTAATTAGATAATTAATTAAATAAATATAAAATTTTGTTTTTTAATAATTATAATTAATATAAAAAATATTTAATATACATATTAGAAAAACTTTTAATAAAAAAATTACATTGAAACAATTCTTCTTCTTAGTTCTGGTGTTAATGACACAATTATAAGGATGGTAGGTACCTATGTATGCCTATTTATTTATTTATTTATTTTTGGTAAGATATGTATACCTATTTACTTGGTGAAAAAAAAAAAGGCAAAACCATAAGTTAAGCCCCTGAACTAACCCCAGAATCGCTATTAAGCACCTAAACTTTAATTGATGCAGTTAAGCCCTTGAACTCTGGGATCAAAGCAATTAAGCCCTTCTTCTTACGCCAACTTAACTGCCGTTTGCGGTT